GAGCAGGGTACCGGTCAGCCAAAGCGAGACATCCAAGACCAAGGGGAGATGGAAGCATTCCTTACCGAGACGGTCACCACTGCTCTTGGTGACAAGGCGGCCAAAGGTTTGACTCCGGACACTGATTTGTTCGCCTTTGGTGTCGACTCGCTCCAGGCTACTCGAGTCAGGAATGTCATCTCGAAATCGCTCGAGCTCAATACCAAACTTGGACAAAACATCGTATACGAGCATCCTTCTATCTCACAGCTTGCGTCCTATCTTTTGGCCTTACGCTCCGGCCAAGCTGGTGCGCAAGACGACTCTGCGGCGCACCGGGCAATGTGGGATCTGGTTGAAAAGTGGTCCGGGCGAATCATCACTCCATCGGCCTCTACGTCACAAGGCACCGCAGTGAACGGCCACAGTGGCGAAGTCGTCATACTCACCGGTGCGACCGGCTCTCTCGGCGCACACATCCTCGACCAACTTGTATCTTCGCCTCAAGTCGCCCGAGTGATCTGCCTTTCTCGAGCCAAATCACACGAAGACTCACTTCGTCGAGTACAAGAATCCCTCGCTCTGCGTGAAAGAACCCTAACGGCCGAGGCAAGTGGCAAAATCACCTCTTTCGCCGCCGATGTCAACCGACCTGATCTCGGTCTTACTCCAGAAGAGGTAGAGACGTTACGTACCCACGCGACTGCTATCATCCACAACGCCTGGCCAGTTAACTTTGTTCTCTCCATCTCGAGCTTTGATGAGCATGTCGGCGGCGTCGTCAACCTCCTCAATCTTGCTCTCACGAGTCCGCGCCAGGTCAAACCGGCCTTCTTCTTCTCATCTAGTGTCGGTACACGCCAGGGTCGCCCTGACCCAGTAGTGCACGAAGATTTCTCCGATGACCCAGTCACGGCAGGTGGGATGGGATACGGGCGCAGCAAGTGGGTTGTGGAGAAGATCTTGGAACGTGCAGGAGGCAAAGGCGCTCGTGTTGGTGTACTTCGTATCGGACAACTCGTTGGCGATACCACCAGTGGAGCGTGGAACGAAACTGAGGCATGGCCATTGATGTTCCGAGCAGCAACGACCATCAAATGTCTTCCAAAGCTAGATGAGGTGAGCCTTTTGTGTCCTTCCACTATGAATGATTCTGATGTCTCAGAAACCTTCCTGGCTCCCTGTCGATCGAGCTGCCCAGGCAATCTCCGAGATCGTTCTGGGCACTGCATCAAACCCAGACCCTCATGCAAGGGTGTACCACGTCCTCAACCCACATACGGCACAATGGTCAGCCATCCTCGAGGGACTTAAGAAGGGTGGACTCGACTTTGAGCCTGTAGATCGTACAGTCTGGCTCGAGAGATTAGCAGCTAGCGATCCAGATGTTACCAAAAACCCAACATACAAGCTTCTCGTGAGTGTTTGATTCCTTTCTGTTTCCACCAAATGATAGCTGACGGGACGGTGTAGAGTTTCTACCAGAACAGGATTGGCAATAAGACTGAACGACCACATATGGAGTTCGAGGTGGTCAAGACTTCAGAGCTGAGTCCAACGATTGCCAGCGTTCAGGCGGTCGACAGTGACCTTGTGGCGCTTTGGACACGGCACTGGAAGAAGACGGGCTTCTTAGTTTAGGTAGATATGATTTAAAGTAGTTGTCAGAATTGGTACTGTATACTAGGTTAAATCGATGAGCTGGGATGCAAATGAATTTGAACATCACTTGACCAGGAGCACGCATTCTCACTCTAGACAATAATGTCGTCTGACAACGTGGAATTCTTTTGATCAGCACTAATACTGTAGTTCGTAGTTCATTCTCAGCTGTAAACTCAAAGCAAACACATCTTTGCCGGACTTCTTTCTTGTATGAAACCTCTTACAACAATCATGAACAGCTCACTGCTTCTTCTCGACTACCGCCTCATTCGCTCCTGGTACCATTGTGTCCGCCCCTAATGCAGCTCTCTCACTCCAACAACCAGTCGTATCTCTCCAGAAGGAGGATGAGAAAAGACTGTGGAACCCGTATGTCTTCACGTGAGACGCGATAGCCGTGACAAGTTGCGCTTCGAGGAGAGATATTGTTGCCGCTGTCATGATGTAGGCGATTGGGAAGGCTAAAACCATCAGACTCGCTTCTGAAAGGTCTCACAGCCTAAGAATGATAGATCCACTCACCAGTTGGTACTTTCAGTTCCTGCATAGCGAGCATCGTATCCTTTCGAATCACTGACACCCGACCGCGATCAGCTGCCAGCTGGGTAAGTGAACGACTCACTGATCCAGGAAACCATCAATACGGTGTTAATTGTACTTTCAACCCAAGTAGATATCAACATGACCTCGACAGACGCATTCCTGCCATGAATCTCAACAAGAGTATAACCTGCCCAAGCCAGAGTGAAGCATAGTATCCCAGACGTAAGTGGGATTGTCTCGGCGAATCGAATGGAACGCATGTACGCTGCCTTTGGATGTGTGACTAGAGTCTAAGGGTAGCTTGTACACTGCATGGATGGATCGCAAGGTTCACTCACTCAAGGAGGATAGGACGCATGATAGGCTGAAGCTAAATATGAGCAGTGACAAAAACAAAACTTCGTAGAGCGTCCAACGGACAGAATGAAACGAAAGCATCATATCCTAGTGAACGTCGAGTCACAAAGGTGATGATGGTGTCACTGTTGTCTTGAGCTATAACTCCAATCAGGGACAGTCCTTCGGGCTACCGAGATGCCTTTGGAAGCTACGTCCCGGTGGGTTCAGGTCGCTGTTCAAAGGAGTTGGGGTCCAAAGGAGGGTCCCAGTTTTCGAGATCAGCAGTCGAGGCTCAACTTCGTTATGCATGCTATTATAAGTCAAACCAGATCATCACAACCGAATCATTACCGCAGTTATACCATATCTCCTTACATCCGGTGAACAGCATCTACTACCCGCTGCTCCTCAGTCGGTGCAGCCGTGGCGCCAGTCGTACCAGCAGAAGCGGCATTTGCACTATAACCTGCAGGTGCTTGGGTACCAGCACCAGTATCATGGCCGACTGGTGCATGGGTAGTAGCACCCGCATCATGGCCTGCTGGCGCATGGTGACCAGTACCGTTAGTAGTACCTGTGGTACCCGTTGCTGCCGTACCGTTTGCAGTGCCTTCGGTAGGCTTATGAATCTCGGCAAGTCGCTCGTGGCGGTGTGCTTCATTACCATGGTGCTATGGCACGCATTAGACCGTGTAACAGACAGGAGGGATGGGGAAAGACGTACTTTGCCCTGAAGCTGCTCAAGCGCGGCCTTCTTACGCTCGACTTCTTGTTGCAAACGGTTGTGTTCGTTTGTCTTGGTTGCGATATCACTCTGAGCGGCTTTCTCCTTCGTGGTGGCTGCGTCGTGCTCTGTAGAACGGCGATTAGCGCGGTATCGACCATAGCGATCGATCATGACAAACTCTGCACGACCTTGTTAGCCTCGGTCCGAAGCTTCTGCTCCTCCTTCGCAGCCTTATCATGGACCTGAACGTCAGTGTTAAGAGCGATTCGGCAACTTACAGAATGCGCGTGGTGCTCAGCTTTCTGAGCCCTAGCTTCGTCCTTCTCGGCCTTTGAAACGTCCTTGATCGCCTGCTTGAGCTGAGACTCCTCCCGCTTCGACTCTATTTCGATCAAAGAGCAGAAGTCGTGAAGCGATGGGATGGGGCAGGATCGGCGGCAAGAGCAAACATGTCTCAGCGTGATCTCTTACCAAAACGTAGCTACTCACCCTTTTCGATCTGCTTCTCTGCCAACTTTGTAGGGTCTGATGAACCGAACAATCCCATGCTGATTTGATAAACTTGTGATAAACTTGTAGATAAACTTGTAGATAAATACAAAAGAATTGAGTATTCAGAGGTGTAAAGAAATCAGATGGAACCACACAAGGCTTATATGCGGAGCAGAACTCAGAGTTGGGTGGCGAGTCAAAATCAGTTGAGTCAATGACGTCATTAAAGTCGTGAGGAATGCCACGCCAGATCCCAAGCTGTTCAGCTGCTGCGTTGACGATCACCTGCAGTGGTGGAGAAGATGCTCAGTCTAGACAAGACTGGGGATGTACAAGCGATTGATCGAGGACGAGAGGGTTGCGCCTAGCTGTGCGGATCAACCCCTCCCTACCCAAGAATACCTCACCATCAACACCCCCGTCCGCACTTCCCTCCCCAGCCCCATTTCCTTGTTGCACATCACATTCACATCCCATCAAGCCTGATCACTGCCCTGCATCAGACCGACGTCAGACAGCACTCATAGCTCAGCGGTTAAGAGCGCTCCTGGATCCCTGACTCCCTCCGTCATTGTCGTCCGCCGCGTGGTGGTGCTTTGACGGGGTGAGCTGGCTTGTAAGGGGAGGACGGGGATTCGACTTCCTCTGGGTGCAGACCATAGGGGTTCTTTTTGGTTCCTTACTGATCAAGGCGGCTGAAAGGCATTCATTTTGAGTTAACATGGACAGGCAAGAGGGGTGTGTAGGTGCTCACGATAGAATATAGTTCTTATCCGCTGAGACACTGCCATCTTAAGGGAGGAGGCGGACTCAAAGTGATATCCGAATATCGTTGGTGGATTTGGACTGATACACGGTTGATTGCGCTGGTGATCTACCGAGGTTGGAGGATGATGCAAATGCGGAATGGCTAACGATCCAGGCGACCGGCATTGAAATGGATGGTCGAAGCTGACAAGTGGTGCTGTGACGACTGACGTGTGTGATGCCGATAGTGAGGGCGCAAGGTCGCTGTGGAGTTCTAACACAGCATAGATCCTATCAATCGGGATGAATGAGACTACCTGGATCGTCAATATAGGCGAAGAAGAACCCTCTAGGGAAGAAGTACTCACAAGCTTGCTGGCTGGGAAGAAAGATCACTGAACGCGCTGACTCGTTTGTGACACTTTCCATAATCACTCTTCCTGACCAAGGTCGAAAAGGACTCTCTTCCAGAATAAGGTGGTTCGAGGAACAGCACTTTACATCGAAAGAGTGAGTGGCGCAGAGGTTTAGCGCGCCGGTCTTACACATTCCCCCTTTACTCTCTGTCCGCCCAACGGGGGGTCCAAGCAGGATGTATGGGGACAGGGCAGGGATGAATGATCGCCGGAAGCCTGGGTTCGAACCCCAGCTCACTCTTTAATTTATATCTTTTGTGTCTCCATCTATCTCAAACCTCCAAGCGTAAAGAAAGAAAGAACTGCAGGTGGGGTGGAAGAATCATCGTCGCCTTGGCGAAGTTGTAGGTGAGAGATTGATCATTTGTTTCAGAAAGTCTAGAAATGACTGGAAAGTCGAAAGTTGGAAACAAAATGCCTCATCCTTTTCTAAGCTCTTACCGTATCTTACTGACTTAGCTTAGAAATATCTCGAATCACGACTCTCGCTAAACCTCCTCACACAAAAATGAGAGGACAGGGATTCGTGGAAAGGAGCTGCGAGAATCAAGAAGGTAGGACTAGGAACGCCGGTTGGCCACTATGCGCACGGGTCCTGTACCCCTTGGTTAAGTAATCCTGAGTCCTGAATATGGGAAAGTATCCGAAGTTCACAGGATAGGGAAGGTGGTGATTTCGGGTAGAATCGCGCCACAGCTTTACGGGTCTAGGTGTTACAAAGATCATTAATGGGTCTAGTTGTTACTGTAGGATGGATCATGATCAGATCTATTTGCCTTGCTTCGCTCACTAAATTCAACAGCCGCTACTTGAATCACTTCTTTTCCAAGCTGACTCGTCAGCCTTCTTCCCACAAGTCCTTGATAGGAGTCCAGTTCGATGAGAATCGTCATCAAAATTATTGGACGAACCCGTCATAGCGTCTTGGTATATGATAACCCATCCCCCGTCCTCCTGTCGCCCTGTCACCTCAGGATATCAATTCAAGGCGGCTCAACAACAACTTTCCCTCGCATCTGGTAAAGCCAAGCATTCCCATCACCCACCATTTGCCAACGACTCCAGGGCGCCTCCTTCCTGGCGTTGGACATGTCATTGCTCAGACCGCTAACAAGTCAATTTGTAGGATGCTCGGAGACATACTTAACTCATACTCCTGTCGTAGGTCATAATCGCCACTGACTCCAGCGGTGAAGCGTTAGCCTCACAGCTTCTTTTTCTTTCATTCTGGAAAGAAGAAAAAGATGGAGCAAGGGATATCTGGATCGCAGGGAAAGATGGTGAGTCCTACCAATACCTGTCTGTTTACGACAACATCTGATCAATGGTCCACTTCAAACAAGGACTTTGTACACTAGATTAAGAATTGACTGATGATTACAGCCACTTTGTCCCAAAATGTACATCGTCAGCCACCACCGGGGCACCTCTAATCGCGCGGAGTCTACGATATCGCGTCGCTGCACTCGCCAGAAATTACGGGGAGAATGAACGATGAAATGTCGCTATCCAGGAGCATGAGGTCGGTTGAGCCCATCTGCGTTATCGGAATTCAGCGCAAGCATTCCGAGTGTACAGTACTAGTCAGAACATCCTTCGTCCGCAATGAAAAAGCTTCGTGAACATTGTCAGTCACTGCAAGCTAAATCGCGCTAGAGGCAAACCCCAAGTCAATATAGGCAGCATGCTAAAACTGAAAGAGCCCCCTGAACTTGACTTAATAACCAGGACAGATGTATCAGTGAAGAGCCTGATGCCCAGCAATGGCAAGCACGTGAGGTCAAAAATCTCATCTTTACACTTGTTTCAATCCTTCCTTCTCGTTCCGTTTACAACTCTTCGTACACTGTTGCTCTCTCCATCTGACCGACTCCATTTCCTTCACCATCAAAGCTCTGAGATCGCTGCAGCTCTCAGTTACTCGCGCTTGGGAGTAGGACCAAGCCTCAACTATACGTATCGATCAGCTTGGGAACTTTGATAGCAACGGTAAATAGACTTACTCCGTCAAGGTAGACTGTACGGTGATAAGGGTAACATGTACATGACAGAGGTATGCATTGTCAAAGGATCAGGGATAGGGAGAAAGGGTAATCCATGATCAGTATTCGTCTCACAGATGTCAATGGCTGAGTATGCTTACAGTGCCTAGTGATAGCTGAAAAGAGAGATTAGCGATATAGGAGATGAGGTGAGATCAACCCCTTACCGATAGTAGCTCCGACTACGCCGGCGAGTACCACAAATCCCATGGGATAGAGCTCAATGGGAATATCTAATCAGGAACAGCGATCGCATAAGGGAGGAAGAAGAAAACGGCTGGTAAGCTCTTTTCTTCTACCTGTAAGAATATTCCGAAAGAGACTCACCCCTCCAGCCAAATCGGAAGATCTAGATAAACATGTCAGTGATCGTTCCGCCTAGCAGGATAAAAACACTCACAAGCTTGCTCTTACCACGACCGAGACCACCTCTGTCAGCTTCAGAGTACATGCGCTTAGTCATCATTCCTTGGGCCGCCTGCTGCGAAGGCACCACAGGTCGAGCGAGCATAGTGGGTCGGGCTGCCATGGTGGGACGAAGGCCAGTTCGCAAGCCAGCCCGTACAAAGTTGTTGCCGATCATGTTGTTATTGTTTGCCTGTTACTGATAGATACTAGGATTGTGTGTAGTTGAGAAATGCTATGAAAGGAATGGAAGACTACGGGAAAGAGAAACCCTGTGATTAAGATAGGAGAGACTAATAGAGCTTGAATGGCGATCCCTATAGCCGGCCCGAGCTCAAAGTATGACGTCGTCATTTCGGGGCTCCAGTTCAAGCACGTATATAGACATGAAAGCGCGCCTAATAACAAAGCTGTCATATGTTATCCGGGAAATAGGCGCACGTCTGCCCCGGCGTTTCGGCCAAGTCTGTTTGCCGGTCTCGAGCACGACCTTTGAACACCAATCAATACCTACAAAGTATGTTCATCATCCTCCTCTATCTTGGTTGGCTGCTAACTTTCAAGTAACCCGCAGTATGGTCAACGTTCAAGCTCAATTCGACAAAGCTGTCGCGATCGTCAAGGCACTTCCGCCTGATGGTCCTGTTAAGCCCTCGCAGGATGAACAGCTCGCCGTAAGTACTATACTCTTTGTCGTTCACACCTTGGGTTTGAGATATGTTAGAAGCGCAGCGTGAAATACGAGGGCAAGTTTGCTGATCTTTTATAGTTTTATGCCCACTTCAAGCAGGCTAATGAGGGAGACTGCACTGGTACTCGCCCAGGTGCGTTAGCAACCCCGTTCACACGTTGTAGCTGATTTCACTGCTTCATTCTGTACTGTGAATCAACCCTGGAATCTCTTGTCACACTTCATCTTCTTCCCCTACACCATGACTGGCTTTTACGACTCGTCTTCCCCCGTCTTTCTCGCAAACTCTTCGCACTATCGCCCCTTTCACCCTCACAGGTGCGTTCGACTTCAAGGGTAAATACAAATACGATGCCTGGAAAAAGCTTGAGGGTACGAGCAAGGAAGACGCAAAGGTGAAATACGTCGAGCTACTCAAATCGGTGCGTTCTATGTCCTTTCTTTCTTTCTCTCTCTGTCTCATCACGTGTCCAAAATGAGAATAAAGCTGATGAGGTCGTGTGTAGATGTTGGAGAAGGTCAACGACGACTCCAGCAAGAAGTACCTTGCTGAGCTTGAAGGTGAGTTGTTTGGTCATGGATGTTCTTCAGAGCAGAGGCTGATTGTGGATAGCTGTGGGACAGTAGGTGTCCCTTGAAGCCTTGATGCATCGATTTGTGGAATGCATGCAGGCTGTCATTTCGCGCACTCAATTCTATTTGAACGAGGTGTAGCGGTGAAGAAGAGAAAGCGTACGTTCTCTGCTGGCAGAGGACCGATTGCAAACCCGACTCACCCGCACTTGGATGCTACCTCGTTCAATCACGTCACAAGACATACCAGTTGGACAACCCTGAACCTTCGTACACGTCTTCACGGCTCTGGCTGATCTTCAAGTTACTCTCAGCCTCCCCAAATAAGCAGGTGCTAATACTTTTCACTGACTCGAGAATGTCGATTTCATCCGAAACAGCTTAACACGGTGAATCGATAATTGTATCTAACACTCGTCCTTCTAACTTATAGGGTAGTTATGATCCATTGTAGGTCAGGATTTGCGGCATATTTAGAAGCCTTACGATTCTTGTTACCACTTTTGATGTGGTATCAGCAGAAGTCTCATCTAATTTGTTGGGCAGAGTGTACTGTAGCGGAACCCAGAAATCACAATTTCAGAGAAATAAATGGTGCTGGAATGAAGAGGCATGCTACACCTCCTAGGAGTGATGTACTATCTCCTATTGATGGTGTTTTAAAAGTGCATTCGTAAACAGTGGGAACGCAGCTCCGAAAGCTGACTATATCGTTGGGAGTAAGTACGGATCCCATCTCTTGGTGATATGCTTCGCTATTCCTAGGTGAGGATTGGCACATACAAGCTTTCCCTCGGTAGAAGTCGTCTGAATATGGGAAGAAGACGAATATCATGGCGAATAAGATGATGAAGACGAAGAACAAGAAGAGGGAACTCAAAAGTAGGCCAGCCGAAACCCCGTTAACACGTGGGGTAATCGAGATCTGTTTCATAGCGGCGTTGCTTCTTGAGTTGCCTTTGTGCCCGGTTCCCCGATGAATGTAGTAGATTGTCCCCCTTTGACTTTGCTTTTTCAACTACAGATATAAAGAGTGATGTGACTTCCAAATCGTACAGAGATCTCTCTCTCTGGTACACTAGTTACTACTACTCACGACTTCTCAGCCAACTCTGTGCAGTCCAATGAGCACTCAAGACAATATCCAAACCGACACACCCGTCAGGGTGCTGGTCATTGGTGCGGGTCCTGCAGGATTGATCAATGCTCGTACGTTGATTGATGATGGTTTCTCTGTGACCATGGTAGCCAAGGTAAGGGTCTCGTAATGAGCAAAGTAGCCAATTTCTTCATGACGCTGATATTCTCCATTCATTGCTGCTCTTAGGAATCTACAGTCGGCGGGTGTTGGGCAAATACTTACCCAAATTTGACTACAAATTCGCCATGGGGCGCCTTTACATTCTCGTACGCTCTTTCACCTTGACCACTGCCCCTTTTGGTTTGGAGTGACTGGGCTGAGAGAGATTATCGTAGTGGTTTGGATATGCCAAAGCCAAGTAACTGGGACGGCGCTGTAGTTCCTGCTAG